GCACCAGTCTTACTCGCTTTTCAAATAAACATACAAGTCGTGCATACATTCTAGGATTGCAGAAATACAAGGCCAAACCATCAGTAAATGAAAGGGAACAAGAGACGACAAACAAAGAGCTTACAAGGGTCGCTAAGACGAGGAGCACTTTTGTCGACACAGATACCAACGTGGTTAAGTAAAGAAGTATCTTTAGTAAGCTGACGAGCACTCCATACGTGCCCATTTAGTTCTTCCAGCATGTCGACAAACAGGGAAGAGTCGGGACGCTTACGCTGCTTTTTCTTATTAGTGATCCACTCATTCGAGTAAGGATATTGGCCAGGGGCAGGCCGAATGAAGAAATACTTCTTCTTCCATTCGGTAATACTGGAAGAGAGGTCGTCAAGAAAAGTAACCCCTACTCGACGACCCAAACAATGGGCGTCTTTGCTAAATCTATACCCATAACAATAAAGGAAAAATTCGGGCAAAAAATCACCTAGAACTATGCGAGTAACGACTATAAAGGCTACCATTATTCGGATAGAGTTGGGGGTGAACTGGTTTATTGGTACATCAAAAAGGTCACTTAATGACTTTAGCTCAGGCTGAATCGGGAAGCGCAGGCCCGACATTATTTGGTCAACGAAGAAAGTATAACAGCCCTTCGGAGGATGACGAAAGTCGTCTTCAGGCTTGGGAGCAACTATAGCCCAATCTGCGGGAAGGCCGCTGAACTCCCTGAAGCCATCGATTTCGGCTGCAGGAGCATAAAGAAAATGATAGTAAGAACTATGGAACACGCTAATAGTTGCAGACTCGATTAAGGAAAGTCGCGATAAAGGAGCAAGGCAGGCCACATACAGAGGGGTGTTCGAGAGAATCTAACGGAAAATACCTCGAGGAGCCGAGTCGGGATAGGAAGTCTCAAGGGTGTTGAGAACTTCGGGGTCCTCACAAAGGGTGCCCGAAAGCAGCGCCTGGTTATACACCGCCCAGTCGATGCCAAAAGGTGAGTCGGGCGGGTGGATAAAATCCT